TCAGAACCTTTAACATATATTTTTAATGTCTTTAATCATTTAATAGATTTTTTTATCCTGTCTTATTTTCTGAAATTCTTAGATGCTAAATTTCCTGAATACTTTTTTTTTAATTGTTGTGATGTGTGGTAAGCTTGGGTGCAAGATACACATGTTGGTAACTTTTGCACATTTAGCAGTCCCAATGAAATAATCATGTAGCAAAATATGTATTATTAACAGTGTTCTAGATGATAGCGAGCAAACCAGACATGTTTCTTATTCCTGTGGAGCTTGTATCCTGGTAACTGGCTGTTATTAGTTATTAATGATTAGTGCTATGATGCAAGGATGAGCACCCCAAGACTCCCAGGCCAGATCTGCCCACAGCATACAGTCTGTGACTAAGCGCGCGTGTGCGTTCAGTTGGTCAGTCGCGTGTCACTCTTTGCAACCCTGTTGACCATAACTTGCCAGGCTCCTCTGCCCATGGAATTTTGCAGGCAAGAATACTGGAGTTGGTTGCCGTTTGCTCCTCCTGGGGCTCTTCCCGAAGTAGGGATCAAACCTGGGTCTCCCACATTGCAGACAAATTCTTTACCACTGAGCCATCAGGGAAGCCCATATTAAAGTAGTTTGAATATCAGATTTTAGGTCTGCATATAACTATAGGATGGTTGTGAGAATTCTGAGACTATGTAATCCACCTAGGGCTTTTCATGTGGACTCTTTGCGACCTGTGAACTGTAGCTCACTAGGCTCCTCTGTCCATGGGATTCTCCAGACAAAAATACTGGAGTGGGTTGCGATGCCCTCCTCCAGGGGATCTTGCAGACCCAGGGATCAAACCCATGTCTCTTCTGGCAAGTGAGTTCTTTGCCACTAACACCACCTGGGAACTGAGGGTTGGAGGGGAAGGAAAATTAAAGTTTTCAGGGGGCCATTAGACTGAATTGGGGCTTCACTCATATCTCAGTTGGTGAAGAATCCTTCTGCAATGCAGGAGACCCTGGTTCGATTCCTGGCTTGGGAAGATCCCCTGGAGAAGGGCTAGACTACCCACTCCAGTATTCTGGCCTGGAGAATTCCATGACTGTCTAGTATAGTCCATGGGGTTGCAGAGTCACACAGGACTGAGCAACTTTAATTTCACTTTTAGACTGACTAGTAGCTAATCCATGAGATGGTCATAAATGGCTCGAACTTTACTTGTTTACACCTTTTCTCCCAATAATTTGATGTAGATTACCAAGAATACGAGTAAAATGAAAGAAAATAAAAGTGATTACATAAAGAAAAGTAGATACGCCATGCATCTGAAATAATTTATATGTTGTATTTTAATTCAACGATATCTCTAAATTTTCTGGCAGCTTTAATTGTGTTCTGTAGGTTTGTAACTGCGTGAGAAGAGAATCTTTTACAAATTTACATCCTGTGATTCTCCTATGGGGTGACATTCCCCCTGCCTCCACCCCCTGCAAGCTACTTTCTAAGTGTAACAGATAGTAAGGGCCCTTTCCTAACGCAATTTAACAATACACTAAATGTTTTGCAGTTATCTGCAAAACTGAAAGTACTGTTTGTCTTATTGCGGACTGTATGTAGCTTTTGATAGTAACCTATTGGTAGCAGAATTGGGAAATTTAAGAATTTGTCTTATGCAAATCTTGCTTTAATGGTGAACTTTGAGTTGCCTATTGCTGTGCCTAAATATTTTCTTAAAAAGGAAATTTGAAAATGTTTTAGCACTTAGTGAGAAATATAGTTGAATTTGCTGAGTTAAGTGCCTGTATATTGAGTAAGATAATTTTGGGTTAACCACTTCTTCAGAGGAGGGATTAGCTTTCTACATTTATTAACATATAAAGAAATTTTTATTCCTTTGATTTTGAGATGTTATGATTTTGAGTGTTAACTTGGAATAACATAGTTTGGGTTTGTCTCTTCTTGTTAAGAATTAATATCTATAATTATATTTCCATAATTTATAGTATTTATATTTCTGCAAAATGAAGTGAAATGAAAGTTGCTTAGTCGTGTCTGGCTCTCTCTGACTCCATGGACTGTAGCCCACCAGGCTCCTCTGTCCATGGAATTCTCCAGGCAAGAATACTGGAGTGCATTGCTATTCCCTTCTCCAGGGGATCTTCCAAACCCCGGCATTGAACCCAGGTCTCCTGCATTGCAGGCAGATTCTTTACCATCTGATTCTTTACCATCTTTACCACTAGGGAAGCCCACATTTCTGCAAGTAACATTATAAAAACTTCCTTATATGCAGTGTAGTATGGGAAAGCATAGGGTTTGTTGTCGGGTCAATATTTTGTTCAAATCCATTTAACTAGTTTAGACAAGTTACTTTGCTTTCTAAGCTCAGTGATCTTTAATAACCTAGGAACAGAGTTCCCATAAAGTTTAAGTGATACATGGTGAAGAGATTTTGTTGGAGAAAGAGAACTGAAGTGGGAAATTTGAGCATATTAATCCTGTCATTCAGTTCAGTGGTGTCAAGTATCAGGCGTAGCTTCTGAATCCCAGTCTGAAGAACTACTGAAATGTGTAAAATATGCAAATTAAGTGAGATATTGAGTATAAAGTAATTACCATAATGCCTATCTATATATGTGTGTGTGTGTGTGTGTGTGTGTGCGCGCGCGCGCGCGCACGCACGTGCTCAGTTGTGTCTGACTCTTTGAGACCCTGTGGGCTGTAGCTCAGAAGGTTCCTTTGTCCATGGGATTATCCCAGCAAGAATACTGGAGTGGGTTGCCACTTCCTCCTCCAAGGGATCTTCCTGACCGAGGGTTCGAACCCACATCTCCTCAGTCTCCTGCATTGGCAGACAGATTATTTACCACTGAGCCACCAGCTTGGAAGCCAAATGCCATAAGCAGTCATTTATTTGTTGTAATTATCCGTATATGGAGGGGTGAAATTAAATGGTTAGTCTATAATGGAAATGTCTCAGGATTTTTTTGGCGTGTGCACACTGCTGTATTTATTTTGGCTGTGCTGGGTCTTCGTTGCTGCACAGGGCCTTTCTCTAGTTGCGGTGAGGGCGGGCCACTCTTCACTGAGGTGCACAGGCTTGCTGTTGCGGTGGCTTCTCCAGTTGCCAAGCACAGGCTCTAGGCACATGGGTGTGGCAGTTGCAGCACATAGGCTTAGTAGTTGCCGCTGCTCTGGGGCCTGCAGGCTTCAGCATTTGTGGCTCAGAGGCCCCTTTTCAGCAGTATCTGTGAAACCTGGGGACTTGTTAGAAATGCATATTCTCTGGCTCATCCCAAACCTACTGAATCAGAATAAACTGTAAGGGTTGGACACAGCAGTTTGTTTTAACAAACCATCCAGATAGTTCATCTAGATTTACTCTAAAATCTAAACTTCAACTGGAGATTGAGATGAATGGAAGCTGGATTTATAGATCTAATTCAGCCTTGCTGCTGCTGCTGCTCAGTCGCTTCAGTCGTGTCCGACTCTATGCAACCCCATGAACGGCAGCCCACCAAGCTCCCCCATCCCTGGGATTCTCCAGGCAAGAAGACTGGAGTGGGTTGCCACTTCCTTCTCCGTTGCATGAAAGTGAAAAGTGAAAGTGAAGTCACTGAGTCATGTCCAACTCTTAGCAACTCCATGGACTGCAGCCCATCAAGCTCCTCCATCCATGGTATTTTCCAGGCAAGAGTACTGGAGTGGGGTGCCATTGCCTTCTCTGAATTCACCCTTAATTTACTCTTATTCATATATCCTCATTCTGATTTTGAGGTGTTTTAAGAGTCAGTCCATACTTAGTGGATGCTGAACTCTACTTTTGTCTCCCCAGCTTTCTGACTCTGCTGGGTGTTCAGCTTAGCTTCTCAGCCTCTCATCTTCTGCAGCTTCAGACGTTGCATCTTCTGGAGACAGCAGGGGTCTCGGGAAAATAAGAGTCTGGGCTTAGACCTCTGAGTTTCTTGTCACTGTCACTTAATTCTTCACTGCCTTGTTATCCCCCAGGTGCTTCAAACAGTTTCTTTTTTTAAGAATTTATATTTTGTCCAGCTTTTCTAGTTTTCAGAGAATAAAGGGAAGACTTAGCCACTTACCTTGTCTGTCATCATCGTAAGTGAAGGCGTCCAAAGTACATGGCTGTGAAAGATTAAGATGTAAGAAACTGTCTCAAGGAGGAGAAAGTGTTAAGCAGTGTTTAAAATAGATCTTTTGGGGGTTTTGTAGTATTCATATGCCTGAAAACAAAAACAGTCCTGGCACAATGAACTCCTCACAAAAAGATTTTTTTTGGTGGGAAAAAAATTTTTTTTTCAAGTGAATTTTTAGGTTTCTATGGAGATAATTGATTGGCGAAGAGGTTATCTTATGACTATTTTCTTGTAAAAAAGTAACAATTTAAAATACTAGACTGCTGTTTCAAAAGCAATATAAAAGTAGATAAAGAGTGATTTTTAAAATACTGTTTTGGGCAAGGTATTTCTAAGAATTTGGGACTTTTTTCTTAACTGCAAAGTGATGGTTATTGGTATATTTGTATTATTATTTTCAAGTATTAAGATATGAAGCCATTATCTCAGTTTCTGTGTTTATGTAGAAACTTTGATGCTAAAGCCATAGTCCTTTACAGTGACAACTTACTGCTGTGTTTGGATGTCCTGTCCTACAGGTGCATCAAGGCCTGTTTCGCAGGGGAAATGTTTATATTTTGCTTTCAGCTAAAGATAGCTTAAGATGCTCCACCCTCATCCCTTTTGTTTTTCTTGTAATTTTCTCAAATATCTTTGGTGATGCTGAAATGAAAAGGAAGTAATATGATAAATACCCATGTTCCTATATATTTGTGTTGTGCTTAAGGGAAGAAAAAGTACTACAGTTGAAATACTCTTAAGTCTGTGCCACTGCCACCCCTTTCCCCCATTTCCAATAGCTGGTATATTTTTTTTTAATAAATGGATTTTCAAATACTTGTTGATAAATTATCTTATTTTGTCGTTTATTGACTCTAACATTTATGGGTCTTTTTACAGTTAAATCGTCAATCTGAAGTTGTTGCTACTAGTTCTGTTGATCCCTGGAAGGCATGTGCAAGACGAAACAAGACTGAAAGTTTAAAACCTTTGAAAGGCAACGCAATTGGACTTAACATGTTGAGCAACAATAAGAAATTGAGGTATAAGCTCTTTACCATACGTCCCTACAGAGAAGATGAACATTTGACGCCAGAAGCTGATTGGCCGCGTTTGGTCAATTGGCCCAACCTGTGCCTTTTGTTGTCAGTTTGTCATTAGAGCCAAGAGATGGAATGGCCCTCATGTGTGAATTCTTTGCTTTGAATTTTTGGAATAGGATGGATTGCAGTGATTTCTTGGTTTGGAATAAAAATATTGAAAGGAAAATTTTGGTACACGAGGATTTCGTAAAATGAACTTGCTTTCAAATAGCAAAATCTTGGTCATAATATTAAAAGTCATGACTCCATTGGGAAATACTTACCGGGATTATCTCAGTATTGTTGTTGTCAGTCACTCAGTTGTGTCTGACGCTTTGCCACCCCATGGACTACAGATTACCACGATTCCATGTCCTTCACCATCTCCTGGAGTTTGCTCACACTCATGTCTATTGAGTCAATAATGCCATCCACTCATCTCATCCTCTGTCATCCTCTTCTCCTCCTGCCCTCAATCTTTCCCAGCATCAGGGGTCTTTTCCAGTGAGTCGGCTCTTTGCATCAAGTGGCCAAAGTATTGGAGCTTCAGCTTCAGCATCAGTCCTTCCAGTGAATCTTCAGAGTTGATTTCCTTTAGGATTGACTGGTTTGATCTCCTTGCTGTCAAAGGGACTCTTATTTATACTTCCTTATTTTCCTTTGTATTTGGAAGGATTCCATATATAAAACAGATCAGTTCCATTTTGGTTTTGAAGAATGCTAATATTTTTTCCTAAATAGTTATCTGTCTATTAATTTTGCTCGTGCAGTCCTTCATTGACCTGAAAGCTTTCATCTTAAGATTAACAAATCAACTTTTACCTTCTGATTCATGCTATTTGGATCTTCTAAAAAAAAATCTCCTCACTCTTAAGTCATAAAGATACTTAAGTATACATAAAAATCAGTCAGTTCAGTCGCTCAGTCATGTCCGACTCTTTGTGACCCCATGGACTGCAGCATGCCAGGCCTCCCTGTGCATCTCCAACTCCCAGAGTTTACTCAGACTCAAGTCCATTGAGTCAGTGATGCCATCCAACCATCTCAGCCTCTGTCATGCCCTTCTCCTCCCGCCTTAAATCATTCCCAACATCAGGGTCTTTTCCAGTGAGTCAGTTCTTTGCATCAGGTGGCCAAAGGATTGTAGCATCAGCTTCAGCATCAGTCCTTCCAATGCATATTCAGGGCTGATTTCCTATAGGATTGACTGGTTGGATCTCCTTGCAGTCCAAGGGACTCTCAGGAATCTTCTCCAACACCACAGTTCAAAAGCATCACTTCTTTGGTGCTCAGCCTTCTTTATGGTCCAACTCTCACATCCATACATACCTACTGGAAAAACCATAGCTTTGACTATGTGAACCTTTGTCAGCGACATGACATCTCTGCTTTTTAATATGCTGTCTAGATTTGTCGTAGCTCTTTTTCCAAGGAGCAAGCATCTTTTCATTTCATGGCTAATGTCACCATCCACGGTGATTTTGGAACCCAAGAAAATAAAGTCTGGGCTGTTTCACTTTCTTCTCCCATCTATTTGTCATGAAGTGATGGGAGCAGATGGCATAATCTTAATATTCTGAATGTTGAGTTTTAAGCCAGCTTTTCACCCTCCTCTTTCACCTTCATCAAGAGTCTTTCATTCCTCTTTGCTTTCTGCCTTTAGGGTGGTGTCTGAGGTTATTGATACTTCTCCCAGCAATCTTGATTCCAACTTGTACTTCATCCAGCTCAGCATTTTGCTTAATGTACTCTGCATTTACGTTGAATAAGCAGGGTGACAATACACAGCCTTGACGTATTCCTTTGCCAATTTTGAACCAGTCCATTGTTCCATGTCTGGTTCTAACGGTTACTTATTTACAACCATACAGATTTCTCAGGAGGTCGATAAGGTGGTCTGGTATTCCCATCTTGAAGAATTTTCCACAGTTTGTTGTGATCCACACAGTCAAAGCTTTAGGGTAGTCAATGAAGCAGAAGTAGGTGTTTTTCTGGAATTCTCTTGCTTCTTCTGTGATCCAACGGATGTTGGCAGTTTGTGATCTCTGGTTCCTCTGCCCTTTCTAAATCCAGTTTGTACATCTGGAAGTTCTTGGTTCACGTACTGTTGAAGCCAAGCTTGAAGGGTTTTTAGTCTTAACTTGCTAGTGTGTGAAATGAGCACAGTTGTATGGTAGTTTGAACGTTCTTTGGTATTGCCCTTTTTTGGAATCAGAATAAAACTGATTTTTCCAGTCTTACGGCCACTGCTGCATTTTCCAAATTTGCTGGCATGTTGAGTGCAGCACTTTCACAGCATCATCTTTTAGGATATGAAATAGCTCAACTGGAATTCCATCACCTCCACTAGCTTTGTTCATAGTAATGCTTCCTAAGGCCCACTTGACTTTTACACTCCAGGATGTCTGGCTCTAGGTGAGTGATTACATCATTGTCCTTATCTTGGTTATTAATACATTTTTTGTACAGTTCTTCTGTGTACTGTTGCCCAGTCTTCTTAGTCTTAATCTCTTCTGCTTCTGTTAGATCCTTACCTTTTCTGTCCTTTATTGTACCCATCTTTGCATGAAATGTTCCTTTGGTATCTCTAATTTTCTTGAAAAGATCTCTAGTCTTTCTCATTCTATTGTTTTCCTCTGTTTCTTTGCATCGTTCACTTAAGAAGGCTTTCTTATCTCTCCTTGCTATTCTCTGGAACTCTGCATTCACTTGGGTATATCTTTTCCTTCGTTTTTTGCCTTTTTCTTCTCCTTTCTCATCTATTTGTAAGGCCTCCTCAGAAAACCATCTTGTCTTCTTGTATTTCTTTTTTGTGGGCATGGTTTTGGTCACCGCAGTGTTATTAACCTCCGTCCATAGTTCTTAAGGCTTTCTATCAGATCTAATCTGTTGAATCTGTTTGTCACTTCCACTGTATAATCATAAGGGATTTGACTTAGGTAATACCTGAATGACCTAGGGGTTTTCTCTACTTTCTTTAAGTCTGAATTTTGCAATAAGGAGCGTATGATCTGAGCCACAGTCAGCTCCAGATCTTGTTTGTGCTGACTATTATATAGAGTTTCTCCATCTTCGGCTACAAAGAGTAAAATCAGTTTGATTTCGGTATTGACCATCTGGTGATGTCCATGTGTAGATTCTTTTCTTGTGTTGTTTGAAGAGTATGTTTGCTATGACCAGTGAGTTCTCTTGCAGAACTCTCAATGAGGAACTCCTTTTATTTTCTTTCTTTTTTTTTCCTTAAGATTTCTTATTCCACTTCTAGATATAATTCATCTATCCTAGTTGTTGTCATAGTGAACCACTGTTACTGATATGATTGGTCTATTGCGTATCCCAGAAATAGGATTGAAATCATTGTTCTTTTTTACCTTTTCAGTTTATAGTCAACTGAGAAACATAAAGGCTAAATAATTTTCAAGTCAGTGGAGAGTCAAAAGTAGAATTTAGCACTTTTAACTTTTTTTATAATTAACACTTAATATTATTTTGGCACATAAGAAAGCTTTGTATATTCATAGTATATAGTTTAAAAGCTTTTTTCCCCTCAGTGGATATTCCTAAATTGAGAATAAGATGAGATATATCTGGATTAATTTAAAGGAAATATTACAGTGTGAAACATACATTTAAGATTCCTCATTTCTGTTCTGATGTTCTACTCTTCACCTTCTTTAATAAATTGGATTGGAAACATTTTGGAAACAAATTCAGAAAGTGGAAACTATTGGAAAACTTAACATGGGCAGGGGTTTATGTATAAAAAAGTTCTTATAAGTGATAAAAGCTTTTTGTGTGTGTCCTCAGATTTTAAAGGATGCATTTTTCTTATGTATATGTAATTTTTCCCTGTTTAATTTTTTCTTTGTTTCTTGACTCTGCAGTGAAAATACACAAAATGCATCATTATGTTCTGGAACTGTAAGACGTTTTTCTCATGCTAATGCACAGATAGCAATAGTAAAAACAGCAGCCCAAAGGTAAGGATTCTAATTACCATTGTCTAGTATATACTCATCATCCTCTTTAATAAGAGTTGGTCACTGCCTTTTTTTTTTTAAAAAAACCTTTTTTTCTTACTTTCTAGAACTTCACTGTGTTTCCATTGTCTCTAAAGAGATACTCATGTTTCTGATACAATTCATGCCCTACAATTTTATTATTTTATATCTACTTTTAAATAAATCACAGTCTGTAAATAGAGACATTTTAAGTAAAAGCCATTCTATTGGATTATGTTCCTGTTAAATTAAGCTGATTTTTACATTTGATAGAGAAGTCTTCAGCTGGTAGTTTAGTTCTGATGAGTCAAACTATAGTTATTACTTTACTCTCTTTGTAAGGTTTATAAGATTTCATGGTATCAAAGTAAATCACATTGTTAGTTTTAAATGAGAAACTTTTGTGGTTTCATAAATATGACTCTGCTCATTGATCGTGAAAGTACTACTTGAATCTTGAAATAATGCAAGTGATAGTGTAATAGTTGATGTTCTTAAATGCTTTTGAGGTTATTCATAACCATTTTTGGATGGTCATGAAGTTTCAGTTGAATTACAGTTCTTAGTCAATTTCAGCTGACAAAAAAGTTTTTAGGCTCCAACAATTACAAAATAATTTATCTCTTTATTTCTTGCATTTTGAATAGTTGCATTAAATTTTTATAGCTAGTAAAACTTAAAGGTTTTTTTAATATGTGCTAGATGTTTGTTTTAAAATATGTACTAGATGTTTTTCTTTAGTTTTTAGACTGCTGATCTAGACTGCTCTTCATTGAAAAAACATGTTCTGACTCTTACCCTTGCTGTATTTGCTATAACATAGTTTCAACTTAAAAACCTTAAATTTTTCTCATACTTTAGCATTATAAGAAAATCTTTTCTTTGCCTAAATATATTATTTTTCATAGTTTTAATGTAAGATGATTTAGAAATTCAGCTAAAAAGATGGACAAATTACTATACATACCAAAAAATTGACTTGCCTTACAAATCAAGCTCTGTGGCCTACACGTAGCACAACATGAGAAGAAACAATAAAAAGAAAGTAATTAAGGGGAAGAAAGAAGTGTAGAAGCATAGACACACTGTTTCTCATATGCTGATCACATTGATGTGATCATCACTGAGAAAAATCTGTCTACTTTCTATTCTGAAAATGAGGTATAAGTTGAAATTCTAATTTATAATCAAGTGATGTATTCTACAACCAAAATTATTACTGGTTTAGAAGTCATCTGTTAGTTTAGAATTATTTACACTATGCCTATTCTCCCCATCTCGCCTTTCTTCATTGGTAATGTTAAAAATTGATTTCAGTTTGGGAATTGGCTTGTGTTTTTTTTTTTTATTCCATGTCATGGCACCTCTTACACCTTGCCATGTATAAAGTATATATTACCTTATACATTACGCCTCTGTGTAAAAGATTAGTTTCTGTTAATAGGAGTGGTATTTATTAGTAGAATAATGTTTCTTAGAAAAATTAAAAACCTGATTTAATTTGTATTTAAAAAACTATCCTGAGTGAAAATACAGAGTGAAGAACAAGTAGGGGCATTAAGGAAAACTGTGAAGTGTCATGTCTACAGGACAGATTCTCCTTATGTTTCTCTCTCATGGAATAAATATTTCTTAGTGCTACTACAGTGTAACTGTCATTAAAAGATTTTGACATACAAACACCAGTCACTGAGAGTTTTCCCAATTTCCTTCCTTCAAAAGTTTTCAGTGATTTTATGCTACATACGTATGGCTCAGCGGGTAAAGAATCCACCTGCAGTGCAGGAGACACAGGAGACGCAGGTTCGTTCCCTGGGTTGGGAAGATCCCCTGGAGGAGGAAATGGCAACCCCTTCCAGTGTTCTTGCTGGGATAATCCCATGGACAGAGGAGCCTGGCGGGCTAGAGTCCAAAGGGTTGCAGAGAGTGGAACACGATTAAGCATGCAGGATGCTACATACACGTACCTACGTGCATAGGTACAGAGTAGTCAAAGATGAGTATGACAGTTTTTTCCTTGAAGCTCAAGTTTGGTTAGGGTAGAAACAAACAAATGTTTACCTGGTGAGTACAGTGTAGCCAATATACAAAGTATGTGTAGTACTATTTATAGCAGTGAAGAATTCACAAAGAAGGTATTAAAGAAGCTTTTGAGTGTTTTAGCTAGAAGAGAACACTCCATGGGGTAGAAACCACATCTTCAATGGGCATGAAAAAAGCCTTCACCCAAGATGATAACTAGCAAACCTTTGGTTTTAGTGTAGTGTTGGCACAATTGTCAGGCCTGAGATGTGTAAAAGCACACTGGCTTTTACGGTTTCACCTAATTTTTCTTATTTTCTCACTTCTGCATTTGGAACTAAAGGCAGTGTCACTAGTTGGTAATTCACACACATAATCCATGCCTCCTGGGGTGAGTGGTGTAACCTGTTTCTTAAGTTAATCAGACCTGCATTTTTAATAATTTGTAAGATATTGAAATAAGTACATCACACCTTTTTAATCTAAAAGAAAGGAGTGTTAAAGTATCAGATCAGATTAGCTACTATTTGGAGGATATTATGGGTGCAGTCTGGTTTCTTATTGTTATTCCAAATGCGAATTAATATTTAAAAGGTAGGTTGTTTATGTACTAGCAGTGATGGAGATAGTATAGAAAAAAATGAAATGCAGAAAATTAAAATCTTTATAACTGTACCACCTCCACTCCTAACTTTAACCAGACTTGGAAAAAGAGCTTATTTATTGATTTATGTTTTGTATACATATTCGCCTTTTTTTTTTTTTTTTTAATTAAAGCTAGGTAGAAAGGCGTAAAAGGACCCTGGGGAACATGAATGTTTACAAAAGCATATATAATTCATAAATGGGAAAATGGGCTCCTGGAATAAGCAAGATTTCATTATTAATGAAAAGTATCACTTTGACCAAATTGAAGTCCAAAATCAAGTCATAGATACCAGACTCAATCAGCTTGTTTTCTTTTTGAATTTTAAGAGCAGAAGTAGTCCAAAAGGAACATTAAGTCAACAGTTTTATGAAGTCTTACATTACCAATAATGGCTTCCTGTCTTAAAAACTTTATTCCTTCTTTCTTTCAATATATAAGCTCTTCTAGGGCCGGGCATGATAATAAACACATATTGAGGTGAGGAGTATTAGAAAACTGCCCTAACTCATAAGTTAAATATCATACAAAATGCATTTTTTTCAAGTGTAAGAGACATGAACATGAATGTATATATTTTTGGGTTTTGTTGTCTTCCTGACTCCTTTGGTTTATTGGAAAGAACCAAGCCCATTTCTTCTGTTTCTACTGTGTCTTCTGCCTCTTTCCTTTACTGTCTGTGGTACCAAACTCTTCTCAGTGAGAACTCTGGGCACAACAGTGTAGAGTAGGAAATGACTAGAATAGGTATTAATGCCTAAGTTTTGGTTTTCATTTTACTTCTTCTAAAAATATGACACCACAAGAAATAAATAAATAAGGACAAATAGATTGAGCTTTTACATTTATATTTTGTTTCACTTTTATAGGTTTATGATAGATAATTTTCCTTCATTTTTCTGTCGTTTGTCCAATATAAATTTATCTTATACAGGTTATCACATTTTTTAAATAACAGAAGTAAAATTTCAAATATAGTATTCATGTAAGTTTGTAATAATTCTTTTCCTTACCATTAAAATTTTTTTAAAGAGATAAGTGTTTCTTTCAATGTTGTTTATATAAAATCAGCTTACCATATATTTTTTTTCTTAATTTGCCAGGACTGAATGGATATTTTGCTTGTATGCTTCACATGATAGGAATTCAGGAGTTAATATGGGGATTCAGAAATTTTTGTTAACTATGTTTTGCTTACAGTTCTGAATATTTAGCTTTCTTTGTAATAGGAATAATTGTAGAATGTGACTCTTTTTCTAAATTGAGGGTTTTATAAAAACCCTTGAGTAATTGATGTTGATAGCTTTTTAAATTTTCCATGAACTGTGGAAAAGGGTGGACCTTTTATACTTTGGACTTCTGATTAAAGGTCACGATTTTTAGTCCCAGGATTTTTTCTGGTGTCTCCAGCCATATAGTATATTTGTATTTAATATAAAGCTTTTGTGGAAAAGTTTCAACCTTAAATTTTTATTGCTTTTTTTTTTGCTCAAAAGCAAATACAGTCGGACTTCTGTAACTGGAGGTTGCACATCTGTGGTTACAACCAACCTCAGATAAAAAATATTCAAAGAAAAAATTCCAGAAAGTTCCCAAAACCAAAACTTGATTTTGCTAGTGCTTGCAACTGTTTATATAACATTTACATTGTATTAGGTACTATAAGTAATTTAGAAATGATTGCTGTATATGGGAGGAAATACCATACCCTTTTATATAAGGGACATGAGCACACACTGTTCTGGTATCTGCATGGGATCCTAGAACCCGTCCCATACAGATAATCATGGGACTACTGTAATCACACCTGATAACATGATTGGGACCTCTAAAAATTGTATAGCTTTTAGAAAATAGTATTGTTCCTTGGAGACTATTGCTGCAACCACTGTAAATAACACACGTCCTCAAATGTTATATCGTTAAATAAAGCTCTTTCAAGAATTTTTTCATCTTTATACATCCTTTTTTCTTCTTTAAATATGTTTAGATATAAATTAATTTCTATACTGACAAAAGTTGAAAATCAGTTTACATATCTGACAGGATTGAAAGCACTAATATATAACATATGTGATGTGTTTAAAACAAGTAAATCATAGTTTTGCTTTATTGACTGCACTTACTAAAACTACAGTGATATATCAAAAATGAGGTCTTGCCTCTTACATTTTTTTTCTTTTTCATGTTTTAAGCAGTCTGGACCAAAAGGAAAGGTAAGCTTAATATTGATGAAATTAGAGCATGGATACAACAGAAAATATCATATTATTTATATGCTTTGAAAAATCACTGAGGCCTATTAATTATTTTAATCAAAGGAAACATTAATAGCACAACATGATATTTGCCTTACGTGAGTAATATTTCACCGTAATTCTCAACATACATTTTTCCATGAATGATTATTATATATTTATACTGATGTGTAACTACTTTAAATAAAGTATTTCAGGATCTTAGTAGTAATGTTATTTTCAGTTACATAATATAAATATTTCTTGTTGTAGTTTAGTGATAATATTTTTGCTTAATATTTTATTAGAGTGAGGTGAAAAATTGAGAAGAATACCTTAAGCTTGGAGTTAAAACTCTATTCTGACCCAAAAATTTGTGACAGAATTTTATGATCCTTATTTGTTCCGTTTGTAATAATTCTAGCAGACACATCATCCTTTAGCAGAAATGTTGAATAATGTAAATAACATAGAAACAAGTTTTTAAGAACACATTTCTTTGAATAGTGAAATGATTGTAGTTGTTTTGAAGCAAATGCCCTTAAGATAGCGTTCTCCTCCATGTGTATATGTGGAAATTTTTGTGCATGTATCTTTTTTTCTTGCTTCCCTGAATCTCAGGAACCTTTTATGAATTTTCCCCTCCCAAAACAGGTAAACAGCCCTTGTATTAAGCCAATACTTTTGTGTCATTGGTGATGTCAAAAGAAGGACATTCTATAATTTGATTTAATTGTGTGACTTTGACTGTATAATTTTGTTTAAAGGTGTAGAGGAAGCAAAGAGGACAACTTAAGAGTATTTTGTAGAATGCTATATATTCCATCTTACTTCATGAACACCAAGTTTCTGAACTATAAAGGTGATTCTGTCAACAAAAGATTTAGGCATATTATTTTATAATTCTGAAATACCTCACAGTTCTTATATGTTTTAAATGAATGGGTTGTGCATATATTTTATTACCTATCTCCTGGAAAAGGAAATTTATTTTTCGATTTCTCTTTGAGTAAATTATTATTTCTTGTGAGATATAGATTTTATGTCTTTAAAATTTTTAACTCATAAGTGACTCATTTTGGAGGGAAGACCATTAATAAGATGTTTTTAATAAAATTGCTGAAGAATATACATTACATAACTATACAGTCACACGTGAACCAGACTGTTGTTTTATAGAAATAGACATTGCTTCATGTGTGTTATAGTAGGTAAAATGCAGGTATTATATTATCAGAATAGTATAGAGCTTAGATTATTCTCTTTCTCCCAATAGCCTTGGAGGGTTAAACTGATTTTTTTCCCCACTGATTTGGCTTCTTACGCATATTTCTGTTGTGGAAATTTATTCACTGATACATTCGGCAAATATTTTAGTGACTGTGTGCCAAGGCACTCTTCTAGGAGCAGACAGAAATCCCTACCCTCTTGGAGCTTATATTCTTGTTGGAATAATACTGGAATAGGAATCAAAAGGTATAGAATTAAGTAACCAGCGTTACCAGTAGGTATATAACTTACTCTAAAATGGGAATAATGATATTTGCCCAATTTTGAAGGAGATTTGTGAAGAACAAATGAGATAATTATTTGAAAGTGACATATATTCTGTAAAGCTTGAAATATCTGTAATAGATACTGAAATTCTTTGTCTTTTGTACCAACATTACTGTCAGGGACTAGCATAAAGCAGCAGGTATTTATAAAATACATAAATACACTGGAGTGCTTTATTTAGCACCTTTGTTACTGTTAGGTTCAATTTAGTCCATTAATCCTTTGGATTCTCACCTAAAATTATTTTATCTTTGGCAGACTTAAGCTGAAAAATTTTCTGTCAGTAGATTTTACTCTGGAACTTTTTTTCACATAAGCCTTTTCCCTCCCTTTTTATAAGCAAAGTCACATTTTTTTTCTGACCTTTGAAGAGTGATAGAAAATCTTTTATCTTTATCCTTAACATACGAAGGACTACAAATCTCTGAACTAAATGATTGCTTTACAAGAGGATAGCTTATCTAATAAATGAAAGATAGGGAGAAAGGTTAAACTATATGCTGGGCACAATGAGGTCTATTTTAGGTTTAAAACCAAGCTGGAATAAATAATAAACAATGATTTTAAGGTCCAGAGCTTTCAAACTTTAAAAAATTGCTGCCGTTTTTCTTTGTGAGTGACATTGGTGACTTAAGTGACTTCTTTTCTGACTCTTGACAGTGCGTTGTGAATACAGAGTTCATACTGGCACCAGCAACCTGGAATACTTAATCTGTTATTAGAAACCCCTCCCCATAAATAGACTATTGACCCATTATGAAATGAGTACGTAGTAATTTCAAAAGTTTAAAAAAATATTTTATTATAAATAGTATGTTCATATTATACAGAATTTTGAAATAACAGGTACAAAGGTGAAAAGAATGTAGTAAAACAATATGAAACACTAGACATGTTTACTTAAATATGGGGTATGTTTGAAAAGACAACTGTTACAATGAAATATTTGATAATTTTTAAGAAGTTCTTAAAATAGAAAATACACCACTAGCATCTTTATACATTTCTTTTACAATATTTTTTCCTGTGTCCTTTAAGTATATCTAACGGGGTCATAATAAAAGTACTGCTGCATATTGTGAATTTGGCTTCTAAAAATGATTTTTAATGATCACATACTAGCTTGTCCTGCAGGTATACATAATTTATTCACCCATTAGCCCATGTCTGGGTGTGTTTCACTGTTGTGTATGACACATTGATGAACAACTTTGTATATAAATTTCTAAATACGTCTCTTAAGATAAATCTCTGGGAAGGAGTCTTTACAAATATTTTTAATGCTCTTGATAGGTACTGCCAAATTGTTTTGCAGACAGGTGTTATCAATTTATATTAGCCTTATAAAATACTATCTTGATATCTGAGAAATAAGAGTACAGCAAGATACTAGATTGTAAGACTAATAATAATAAAGTTTTTTTAATTCACTCTAATCTTGAAGTATATATTGAAAAGATAAAAAATATTCAATAATAAAATTAATGATATATAGCTCCCTTGTAAATATACCTAAAGAACCTGATTTGAGGCATATATTTGGTTCCTGGTTGATTATTTGATAGCGTTGCTCCTTAAGATAAATTTAGTGGAATTTTAGTCAGAAATCCTGTTGACTTTGTTACTTTAGGATACTTGACCAATCGACTCAAGTTTATTTCGAAGAGAAAATATTGGAGAAGAGCAAGTCTTAATTTTGTAAAAAGAGTAAGTGAGGGAAGAGAAGAATGATATGCCTTGCCACATAATAAAGCTTACTGTGAGGAAAACAGTGGTTGAATATGGAAACATTAGAAAAGGTCTAAAAAGGAAGTAGGACAGTAAACAGACCAGAGAATCCAGGTGTGTTCAACTTCCAGCTAGCCTGTCTAATCAATAAAAGTTTAGTTTACCATGCCTGAATTATATTATTTTCACATAGGCTAATATTTTGAATTCCTTTGTGGTGGCTGCATGGTAGCCAGTGGTTCAGTTTTGACATTGTCGTCCTTGTACTGCAATATTTAGATAATTGTTTGACCTGATAAATACACTTCCAATTACATACTGCCTTTTAGTTACATACATTTATTCCTTCCAACTATTTATCAAGTGGCTGTTATGTTCTAGGCATAAGAATACAGTGATAACAAAACAGGCAATAACCTCTGTTCTCCTGTAGTTTACATTTTGATGGGCAAAAACAGATAATGAATACATAAAGCACCTAATAATAAGTTCTGTATTTAAAAGTACAATTGAAAAAAAATACAATTGGATGATGTGATATAATGTGACAATATGTTTTCTTTAGATGTTCAGAGAAACTAAGCTACAAAGCTGACATTTAACCAAGAACTGAATGTAGACTCAGATACAGTGATCATAGAGATGGCTTCTTCAGATAGGAAAGAGGTTGTGCGAAGATATTAATTCTGGCATGAGTTTGTTGGCCTGCAACATGGTATGTTGGCTGGCATGGTATGTTCAGAGAACAGAAAAAAGGACCACTGTGGCTGGAACTTGGGGAGCAAAGGGGAAAATGTTACGAGGTTTGGTTTAGTAAGGTCAGCTAGAACCCCTAAATCATAAAAGGCTTTGTAAGATGATCTCAAGAGTTTGAGTTTTACATTGGTGCACTCACTGAAAACTTTCAGTGCATTTTAGGTAGAGAAATGTTACTTACTACCTGATAAATATCTGAGATTTTTTAAAAAATAGTCTTTTATGTATGATTTATGTGGTGTTTAATTGAGGCTAAGCTTGTTTCACTTACCAAATAGAATATCAGTAATAATCTTTGTTCAGAACTATTAAGAGCTCAGCAAAGTCTAGGAATTAGGTAGAAGGACATAGGTAAAAGGAATCTTATGGCTTTTTTTGGGAGAGGGATTGAATGGGATAGGATGGGGAAGTGAAAGGATTTTAAAGATCTTTATGTCTTTGGGATGTGTAGAATATCTTGCTTGAGGAAATAGTTGGAATCTTGATAACATGTTAATGAACATAGTATGCAATTGAAATAAGAGTTGAGACAAGGAAGGTAACTATTTGTATTTGTTAAATTAGCCAGAGGAGAAAAGAAAATAAGTGAAAAGTTATTGTGGGGACTTCCCTGGTGAGCCAGTGACCCAAGACTCCACAATCCCAGTGCGTGGGGCCTGGGTTCGATCCCTGGTCAGGGAACTAGATCCCACATGCCTCAGCTAAGACACATCGCAGCCAAATAAATAAATTCAAAAAGAAAGATAAGTGATTGTGTAAGTGAGTAAAAATAGGAAAAAAGAGGAAAGAATGAAACAAATATAAAGAACAACTAACTCATAAGGTAAGCTGAAAGGAAAACATGAAGTTTATCAGCTGCAACTTAATAATTGTGATCAGGTTGAATATATTTATTAAAAGACAAATCTGTTGTATTAAATTCAGCTATATCATACTATTTATAAGAATCAGCTCCTTCTAAAATAATGGTTTGGAAGTAAAGGGTCTCTTGACTCCTAGAGTCAAAAGAGATGCAAACAATATGGCAGAAACCAACAGATTATTATAAAGCAATTATCCTCCAATTAAAAATAAGTTAAAAAAGATGCAAACAAAAGGAAAGCTTGAGTAGAATTTTAGCAACAAATGAGACCAAATTAAGGATTAGAAGCACTAAATAGGATAAAGGAGTGCATTTCATAATGGACATACTCTGAGAAATGAATAAAACTCCCCTAAAATATTTAAAATGCAAAAAAGTTTTTGGTTAGAGTACAACTTTGGGAAATTTTAATAAATCTTCAAAAATTTGAAGTTTAAACATAAGTTTGGAATAATGGATTTTAATGGAAAATAGACATTTAATTTGTTACAGAAGTTTACATCCTTTGCATTCAGTTACAGCAGTGGAACAGCTTATAAAGTGAGTTTATTAAAACCAACTAAAAATAAACCAGCACTCAGATTCTGGTTTCTAATATTCTAATAAAAGGAACATGGAGAAATGGCTGATTCTAGGGATAGGTTAGGGAAAACACAAAATAATCTTAGAGTATCTTGTAGTATCAGAATCCAATTCAAAAAACCAAAAGGTGCTTACTTCAACAACACATACACTAAAATTGGAACAGTACAGAGATTTTCATGGCCCTTGTACAAGGATAACATGCAGATTGGTGAAGCATTCCATATTTCTGTAAATTTTATGTATATTTTATCAGAATTAAAAAGGTGAGGTCACAGGAAAGGAACACAAGAGCCAACTGAAAGAACTCCCAAGGGCCAGAACCAAAACAATTGGATTATAACCTAAAATATAAATACCCATTGGTGATACTGGTATAAATGATTGAATAAGTGATTTACTTACTGAACTAACCTAAAATTTTTGTAAGCTGCATAAAATGAATTGGGTGAAATTGACAGCTGTTTGCTACAGAAGAATTCCAAATAAATAATATGTGTGTAGACAGTCCCCTCTTCAGGCAGAAGTAGAGTTGTTTAGTTGCTAAGTTGTGTCCAACTCTTTTGAAACCCCATGGACTATAGCCCACCAGACTTCTCTGTCTACCAGATTTTCCAGGTAAGAATACTGGAGTGGGTTGCTAATTCCTTCCTCAGGGGGGTCTGACCCAGGGATCAAACCTGCGTCTCCTGCATTGTGGATTCTTTACCACTGAGACACGAGGGAAGTCTCAGAGTTTAAGTACCCTTGCCTCTCTTGTGGGCTGGACTAATTGAATTTGCTTCCAAATAGAACATTGAAAAGTGAAAATAAGTAACTCTGGAGTAGAGAAACCTGGCAGACATTACCTTAGCCAGATGATCACAGTTAACCTTACTGGTGTTATAAATCATTGATATCATGTAACCCCTGATACGATGTGATGAGACATCCACCAAACCTACAAGCTTGGTCTAGTCATGAGTGAAACACCAGACACATGTTGAGGGGTATTCTGTAATAACTAACCAGTCTCTTCCGAAGCGCCAGGGTCATGAAAAACAGTTTTAAGTCTGAGAAACAAAGAAGCTGCTTCCCTAGTGGCTGACACAGTCAAGAATCTGCCTGCAGTACAGAAGACCCCGCTTCAGTCCCTGAGTGGGGAAGATACCCTGGAGGAGGAAATGGCAACCTACTCCAGTATCCTTGCCTGGAGAATTCTATGGACAGAGGAGCCTGACGGGCTAGTATCTGTGCCTGGAGAGTTCCACAGACAGAGGATTCTGGCAGGCTAGTACATGGGGTTGCAAAGAGTCAAACATGACTGAGCTACACACACACGCACGCACAACTAGGGAGACAGGATCACTAAAAACAGTGACTCCTCGATTGTATTCTAGAACAAAGAGGATATTAGTGGAAAGTGGTAGAGCTGGTAAATCGAACAAAGTCTGGAATTTAGTTAATAGCCATGTACAAATGTTGATGTTTGGGGTTTTTTGACATAGATATGAGGGTAATGAAGATGTTAACATTAGGAAAAACTAGGTAAGGACTATAAGAGAATTCTGAACTATCTTTTCAACTGTTCAGTAAATCTAAATTTGTTCTAAATTTTATTTTTTTTTAAAGACTTCCAAAGCTGAAGTCTATCTAACCTTTAATAAACAGAACATTCTGATGTTATTTAAACAATCTTGCACAGTAGGGGGAAAAGGGTATCTAGTTTTATGCAGCTTGTAAAATATTGGATCCATGATCCATGAAATGAGGTTCTCTAAAACTTCTATACAATACTTCTGAGAGTATGCTCTCAGAAGCAAAAAGAAAAAAGAAAAAATGCTCCCACTTGGTAGGGACACTTCTCTGCTTCTGCTTGGTTTAAGGTAGGAAAGAAAATCCACTGGAAAATTAAATCCTAGCCTTAAGCATCATACTAGTTTGAAGTTTGAAATTTTTAATGTCTGTAGAGTGTTGGAACCTTCAGTTTATTTTTGATTACCTAACAAAAGTTAACACAAGATTATATCTATAAACTTCTTTTAATTCTCTTATTAAGCAAATACTTTTATTCTTAAATTCTTGTATTCTTGTATTAAAATTAAGGTATGCTTTTTGCTTCAGTAATTTGCTCTGTGTAGGGATAAATATAGTAAATATAGATACAGAGTGGCCTTAAGGTTTGGAAATGTTGGCACATGTACATAATTTTTAACATGACAATACATGATGGTCATGGACATTGTATGACACATAAATTCATTGTGGTGTTTGTTCCTCATCAGCAATGAATGGTTCCATGCACTCTGTCAAATAGCAGAGAGCTGAGTGAATTAGTAATCTTTGTGATATGTTGTCTTAGATGATGTATGCCAGTTATTACTGAATGAACTTGTGTTTATAGCATACCCCAGAATAAGTAAAGCAGGTTTAAATAGACAAAAATCCAAATTATCTGTATCTCCAGATTTTGTGGCCACTCTGTCAAATCATTTTGCTTGTTGATAATCCTTAGTATTTAAGAATATCTACTGTTCCTGTTGTCCACTGTTCTAATACATAGAAGTTTTGGAGTTTACTGTAGTTGTATCATATTTTGCTTCAAATTTATTGCCTCAGTTGTATTTTATAGTTGGTATTTTTATTTTTCCAGTGTTGAGTTATAACAGATTGAAAATTGATTGTATATGGATAAGACTATATCATTTTTAGTGTGAACATGTGTAGAATATAAAAACATGTACTTTATTTAAAGCTTAGTGTACCTAGGAGCTGAAAACTTTACTTTTCATAGCACTGGTACTGCTATCTCTGAGGCAAAGTCTCATCTTCACAATTTGTATCCTCACAAAATTTTGACAGTGTGGAAATGACCCAGTTGGACCACATACTGTTCAACAATAATAATGAAAATACCATTACTTACCAATACTGATGCAGTTTGCCAGGATTCAGATTCTCGTGTTGCTATTTAGTAGTTCTGTGACCATGGGCAAGTTAATTAACCTCATTGTGCCTCAGTTTCCTCATCTTTAAAGTGCTAATAATAGCATATACTTTATAAAGTTACCGTGAAGGCCAAAGTGATTAATAGATGCAAAGCACTTAGAACAGTACCTGGCACATTATGCTCACTGTTTGCTAACCGCTATCAAAAGTGCACTCCTGTCACTGCTCATATTATGTTCTTGTCATTTTCGTAGTTTGCTTTCAGTTCAGGTGCTTTGACTTTTGCAATATAAAAATATGAAATCCTTAGAAGGAAAACTCCTTTAGGAATTTTGTTTAGTTTTTGCTTAATTAATTGTATTGCTTTGTGATAGGTTTGATCACTTGTGAGAACGGATTTATAAAGAACAGAATAACCTCTTTTAATTCCCCTGTTAAATAATATGAAAATATTTTTGGAGCCTTTCATTTGGATGGGGAAGTAGCTATTTGTAGCTCCCTCGTCTGTTGCAAATCTCCTTCTTTAATGGCTTTATCCCACAATTTAGCTATAGGTTTTTTGCTTTTCTCCCAAACTGATGTATATTTGGACTTCTCTGACATTTTAGGATCCTTGTTAACTAAGGATTCCTGTTCAGAATTCTGAAAATTGGTTGTGTATGAAGTCTGACAATGTAATATACTTTTAAAGTATTAATATAATTATAGCCCCAGTGTATACACAAGTATTCATACACAAGTATGTATTCATACACAAGTGCTACACAAGTATGAATACTTGTTTCATGATTTCTGGTTTTGTATATAGCTTCTTTTTTTTTTTTAACTGCTTTTGTAATTACCCTGAAGAACAAGATCTTATTCACTCATTATTTCCCTTAATCATTGATTTTTAAGCAGCTAGAAACATTTACAGCAAAATTGAGCAGATATTTATTCTAAGCTGAGTAATTTGTTTTCTTTTAGAACTGCATGTGACAATGAAATATTACAAGCCTTTCTTTTTTTTTAAGTTTTTATAAATGGATTATGAAAGTCGTTCCAAATGAAAAATTCTAAAATTTTGTGCATTGGGGGGATATATATATCTCTCTTCCCAAAGTGACTACTTTGAAAGGATAAATATTTAGACTCATCTATTAAATGTTTATTTGAAAGACTGCCCACTGTTGGCTGGCATAGATTAACAGTTTAAATAAAATATAATCACTGCCCTTAGGGATCTTGTAGCGCATTAAGGTTTAGTATGTTTCCATAATATAGTGTTATTTTATAGTACCACTTTTTATGTAACAAAGAAGCTATGATTTGCTTTTGATAAACATATTGTAAGTATTCCCTCTACTTTTTCATTTTAAAAATATTTTTTTTTCTTTTAGAATAAAACTATATGAATTTCCTTTTTAGGAAAGAATACCCACCTCATGTCCAAAAATTTGAAAGTAACCCTGTAAGGTTAAGTCGGCCCCAAGGTGTTGGTAAGTGTGCAGTTTTATTTGTTAACACCTGTGAAGGGTTTTGAGTTTTTGTCTGAAAGGTAGATTAGGGATGTAGCACTGACTTTAGAATATTCTCAGTTATACTAGAGATACATAGACTCGTTTTTAATAACTGAGTTGAGAATTTATTTCTCATCTGAAATCATTGGAGAATGATTGAGAGAGTATACATTCAGGTGATGATAGTTGGAAATCTTTTTGATTATATTGGCATTGTTGTTAAATTCATGATCCGTATTAACTCTGGGTGGGTTATAGCTTCAGAATTATGTTTTGTTGCACTGTGTTATAATCTTAACATAGTGCAACAGTGTTAATTCAGTGGTTGCCTAATATATTCTAAATTTTAGGATCAAAATTATTCTAGTCAAGAAAATCACTGAATTAAAAAGAGACCATACCTGATAAAACTGTGTTAATAGTAGATGTTGGAATATTACTGTAAGTAGAAATTTAATTTACATCAAAATAATTTTTAAAAAATTACTAATAAGAGAAATTAACATTTATGAAAGCTGTTTCTACCATCAAATTGATGTTTATTATTTAGAATAGAGATTTTCAATCTGTGTGTCCATCTTATTTTCCCCAGGCCTTTGCTTGTTTTATTTTTTGGCTTTTTAAAAAAAAATTGAGGTATAAGTTGATTTACAGTATTACATTAGTTTTAGGTGTACAGCATTGTGATTTGGTATTTTTACAGGTTATTCTCCTTTAAGTTGTTACAAGATAATGGCTGTAATTCCCGTTCTATGGATTATATTTTTGTTGCTTATCTATTTTATGTATAGTAGTTTGTATCTCTTAATCCCATAGGCCTTGTTTTAAATAGCAGTAGTGGCTCTTACTATCCAAAATCGAATGATTTTAAGCAGCTGAGTTTTCCTGGTTGTCAACAGTTTCTTTTTTTTTTTTTAAGCACCTGTATTTTTCTATACCTTGGATGAAAATCTTCTGTGTATATATAGAACATATTTTATAAAAAGAATATTCGAAACATAGCTTCTTTCGTAATAACTTTGCAGTTGTGAATGTGAATTAGTATACTTTGTAATGCATAGTTATGCTCACTAGGTATATTAAATGTGGTAGTAATGACTAGCCTCTTGAACATTCATACCTTAAACCTTTACTGAACTCTTACCCTGCACTTGAGCTGAGTCAGATGCTTGACATTGATTATTTGCTTTTATCCTAGCTCCCTACCCAGGATCTCAATAAGCTAAGTCCAACTTTACTTCCATTTTGTACAGAGGAGGAAATTGAGGTTCGCAGGGGTTATATAACTTGCTCAAGGACACAGACTAGTACTGGAATCCAGGTCTATATGATGATAAAGACCACACATTCTCTTAACCACTGTGCTTTACTATTTTCTCCCTAGATCAAAAAGAAACTTATTTCTGATCCTCAGGGAAGAACTACACAATAGGTACGGTTATCATTCCCTTTACCCAGATGCATTTCAGTAAGTTAAGTGATTTGGCCTATTATATGGTTTTAGATATGAGTGAGCCCCAGACATTTTACAAAAATTTTTTGTTTATTCAAACACTTCCCTGGTGGTCCAGTGGTTAAGAATTCACCTGTCAGTGCAGGGGACACTGGTTAGGTCCCTGGTTTGGAAGGATTCCACATGCCACGGGGCAACTAAGCCTGTGAGCTACAGCTCCTGAGCCCAGCTGTGTAGATAGAGGCCGTGCTTTGCAATAAGAGAAGCCAGCATGATGCTAAGCTGGAGAGCAGCGCGCCCCCCCCCCCCCCACCTCCTACTCGCGAAACTAGAGAAAGCCTGCGCAGCAATGAAGACCCAGTGTGGCCAAAAATAAAAGAAATTTTAAAAAACTTTTTTGTTTATTCAGTGACATTCATTAAATAGATAAGAATAACCTTTTTTTAAAAACCTTTTTATTTTGAAATCATTTTAAGTGAGTACTGAAAAGTTATAAAAATAGAACTCATTTACCCTTTATTGAGCTGCCCTAAATGCATGTTACAGTCATAGTACATTTACAAACAAAGAGATTGGCACTGGTATAACATTTTAAACTAAGCAAGCAAAAAAAAAGAAAAAAAAACTAAGCAAACAGACATTGGTCTCATTTCACCAATTTTTCACTGATAACTTTTTTCTGTTCCAAGATACAGCTTGAGATCTTACAATTGTTACATCTCCTAAGTTTCTTTGATTAATTTGAAAAATACTAGTAGAATGTCTTTCTGTTTGAAAGTTTGAATGATGTTATTTTATGATTTATTGTTAAGTTGCTCAGTCATGTCTGACTCGACAACTGCATGGACTGCAGTGTTCCAGGCTTCCCTGTCCTTCACCATCTCCTGGAGTTTGCTCAAACTCATGTCCATTGAGTTGGTGATGCCATTCAACCATCTCATCCTTTAATGGCCCCTTCTGTTTCTGCATTCCGTCTTTGCCAGCATTAGGGTCTTTTCCAATGAGCCGCCTCTTTGCATTGTATGATTAGATTGAGGCTATTCATTTTTGCCAAGACTTTCATGAAAGTTAGGTTGTGTCTTCTTCTACACGTTATATCAAGGGTTGTATGATGTTGGTTTGTCTTAACTACTGTTAAACATGATCTCCTAGTTAGGTAGTTTCTGGTGGGTTATTCCACCATACAGCTATTTTCCCCTCCTTATTAATAACTTGGGACTCTTGACACTATGCAGATACCCTCTTTTTCCTCAAAATTGTGTCCACTGATACTAGCATCTTTTGGTGGCTCTTGCTGGCAACAATTATTACTCAGTGTTTATTAATGGTAGTGTTCTATTTTATTTCTTTTACATGTGTTAATTGAAATTTTTTTAATAGGGAAGAGCTATACTTTCTTCTTTATTATTCAGTTTATGCCTGTGGACTCACAATAAAGTGTGTAAATATATATATATATATATATATATAATGTATAAATATTACCTGTCCACATTGAAACATGTACGCTTTGGGAAAGGGATATTGGTATATTTAGCTGGTAAAAAAGTGACAGTGTTAGTTGCAGTTGCTCAGTCATGTCCAACTTTTTGCAACCCCATGGACTGTAGACCTCCAGGCTCCTCTGTTAATGGAATTCTCCAGGCAAGAATAATGGAGTGGGTAGCTATTCCCTTCTCCAAAGGATCTTCCCGACCCAGGGATCAAACCCTGGACTTGTGCATTACAGGCAGACTCTTTACGGTAGTGACCCCTAAAGAGACTGAGCTAGACTTGTCTGTGAGTGTCTAGGAGTCTCTGGCTGAGGTCTGGGTCGACAGAGGCCTGCCGCAGGGTCAGGGGCACTGAATACAACAGTCCTGGGGGCTACATAAGTCCTGGTGTGCTGGCATACGTGAACCGTGAACTTCCACATGTTCAAGCTAGTTTTAGAAAAGGCAGAGGAACCAGAGATTAAATTGCCAACATCCGCTGGATCACTGAAAAAGCAAGAGAGTTCCAGAAAAACATCTATTTCTGCTTTATTGACTATGCCAAAGCTTTTGACTGTGTGGATCACAATAAACTATGTAAAATTCTGAAAGAGATGGGAGTACCAGACCACCTGACCTACCTCTTGAGAAACCTGTATGCAGGTCAGGAAGCAACAGTTAGAACTGGACATGGAACAATAGACTGGTTCCAAATAGGAAAAAGAGTATGTCAAGGCTGTATATTGTCACCCTGCTTATGTAACTTACATATGCAGAGTACATCATGAGAAATGCTGGGCTGGAGGAAGCACAAACTGGAATCAAGATTGCTGGGAGAAATATCGATAACCTCAGATACTGAGATGACACCACCCGTATGGTGGAAAGTGAAGGAGAACTAAAGAGCCTCTAGGTAAAGGTGAAAGAGGGGGAGTGAAAACGTTGGCTTAAAGCTTAACATTCAAAAACTAAGATCATGGCATCCGGTCCCATCACTTCATGGGAAATAGATGGAGAAACAATGGAAACAGTGGCTGACTTTATATTTCTGGGCTCCAAAATCACTGTAGGTGGCGATTGCAGCCGTGAAATTTAAAGACGCTTACTCCTTGGAAGGAAAGTTATGACTAACCTATACAGCATATTGAAAAGCAGAGACATTACTTTGTCAACAAAGGTCCATCTAGTCAAGGCTATGGTTTTTCCCATGGTCATGTATGGATGTGAGAGTTGGACGGTGAAGAAAGCTGAGCACTGAAGAATTGATGCTTTTGAACTGTGGTGTTGGAGAAGACTCTTGAGAGTTGTTTGGACTGCAAGGAGATCCAACCAGTCCATCCTAAAGGGTATCAGTCCTGAATATTCATTGGAAGGACTGATACTGAAGCTGAAACTCCAATATTTCGGCCACTTGATGCGAAGAGCTGAGTCATTGGAAAAGACCCTGATGCTGGGAGGGATTGGGGGCAGGAGGAGAAGGGGACGACAGGATGAGATGGCTGGATGGCATCATCAACTCAATGGACATGGGTTTGGGTAGACTCTGGGAGTTGGTGATGGACAGGGAGGCCTGGTGTGCTGTGGTTCATGGGGTCGCAAAGAGTCGGACATGACTGAGCGACTGAACTGACTGACTGTGCTGGCATAAGTCCTTTAGAACATAGTTTGGCCTCAGGCCAATGTATACGGAAGGAAACCTCCTCACCCATAAACAAAAAATTGGATTAAAGATTTACTGAGCATGGCCTGACCATCAGAACAAGACCCAGATTCCGCCACAGCCAGTCCCTCCCATCAGAGTCCTTCCGCAAGCCTCTTATCCGTATCCATTAGAGGGCAGACAGAATGAAAACCACAGTCACAGAAAACAAACCAAACTGATCACATGGATCACAGCCTTGTCTAACTCAGTGAAACAATGAGCCAACCCATATAGGGCCACCCAAGACAGACAGGTCTTGGTGGAGACTTGTGACAGAATGTGGTCCACTGGAGAAGGGAATGGCAAACCACTTCAGTATTCTTGCCTTGAGAACCCCATGAACAGTATGAAA